CTCTCTCTTTCTCCCTTCTCTCCTCTCTCTTTCTCCCTCTCCCTCACCATGTCTTCCTCACTTCACTTCTCTCCCTCTTATCTCTCTTTCTCCATTCTCTCTAGGTCTCCTTCTCTGTTCTCTTTTTCTCTCACTCGCTCTCCCTTTCCTCTCTTTCTTTGTTCTCTCTTCTCTCTTTCTCCCTCACTCTCTCTTTCTCTATTCTCTCTCTTTCTTCCTCTCTATCTCCCTTCTCTCATATCTCTTGGTCCCTCACTCCCTCTTTCTCTACTCTCTTTCTTTTTCTCTCCTCTTCTCTCTCTTCCCCTCTTCTCATCCCCACTCTTTAAGGAGAAGTGCTCTTTGGTTAAGCGACAGGGCAAGACTCGATGATCACCTCTAACTCATCTTCGGGGTACGTAGGCCTAGTGTCAAATACAGTTCTCCTATCTCCGGTATTACCTCCTAGGGGAGGTGATGCCTGAAGGCTTGAGGAGCTTATCGAGTGGTTCTCTCTCTTTTCTTTAGCCTCTCACTCTCCCTTCTCCACCCACTTTTCTCTTCTTGTACTTCTCTTCCTTACCCCAACGAGGTAAGCCTTACCTCAAAACTTTCTTTTATTGGTTCAAACCACACAAACGCCGAGCCGCCCAACCATTATCATCATGGGGAACGGGGTCACCCTCATGCGTACACACGCATGAAACCTAGGAGGGGCGTGAGACATGCTTTCTTCTCTCTTTAAAAAACACGAAAAAATAAGAAGAATCTAGTAGTTTTAAGCAAGGATTTTTTATCGTACGCAACAAAAATGAGGGCTGACCAACTGGCGACTCCGCTAGGGATCTTCTTGTTCACAAATGCATCGTGCTTTTAGCACACATAAAATGGTTTCGAAATTCCAATAGTCCTACTTCTCTGTTGGGGACTTCATGATTCCCACACCCAAAGTATCATCTATTGGGAGTCGGGTTTCTAACCAAACCGCACCTCCCGCCTTCCTCTTTCGAGGTGGTTTAAGCACCCGCGCCTGAGCTCATGCCCAAATTGGGATGAGAAAGGGCCCTCAAGCACCTCACTACCCATCTCTTGGCCATGTCAATGACCTAGCCGTCTTTGTCACATCCATTGGTGGCCCAAAGGCCACCACCCATCATGTGCACATTGGTACCGACAGCTTAGTCGCAAGTTCATGCTCCAAGGGAGGCCCATAGGCCACCCGTCAACATCCAATCTTTGCTGTTGGCAGCTAGGCCGCTGGTGCCTCTATGGGTGGACTATAGGCCACCCCCCATTAATTCAACACATGCACCAGCGGCCTAACCACGGTGTCCTCACTCACAAGCGCACAGGCGGCCTAGCCACCGATCTCTCCACCAATACTCATGCCGACGGATTGGCTGCCAGTCACCCACACAAGGGTGGCCCCAAGGCCACCCTCACTCACACACTGTAGGGCCCGGGTCTCTCACATGGGGGCAGCTCAAAAGCCATCGTCTCTCACTCACACTCACCGACCCTCCTAGGCAACGGTCCCGTGCACAAGGGTGGCCTGAAGGCAACTTGAGTTGTACCTCATCCCACTGGTGGCTTACCCATCGGTCACTATAATCGAGGCAACCTAAAGGATACTCCCCACTCACCAACACATCATCAATGGCCTAGCCATCGATCAACCACATACGTGTGCACATCATGAATGGTGGCATAAAGGCCACCCCACCACATATACAACACCGAGAGACCGACACCTCCGATGCCGGCCCCTCTCAGCACCTCGGGTTGCCTCCAAGCCCACCCTCACCACACCGCTGCATCGTGCACACACACACGTGCCTATGACCACCTCTAGTTATGAGGGTAAACACCGGTGCTGCAAGCATGCATACCCCCATCACACCTCCACTCACTTAGCCTCCACCCCCGCTTTGGGGCTTGGGATTTATGATCCTAAGTGCACCTCGGTGAATCCTCCTATCGTTTCACTACTTGGGGCTCCAACCCCAATAATGCCAAAGATGGGGTACGGGACACCAAACGAGAATGTTACAAAGGCTCTCGAGGGCTATTACGCTGCTGGATTTTTTCCAGCTCCGATTCGGGGCAAGACGAGAAGAGGTATGTAGACACTTAATTGCCCGAGCATTAAGACTTGGGAAATGAGTCCCATTCCCGATTGCAGATTTGAGAGTGTGCCTGCTAAAATTTGAGGATCAGCCACAAAAAAGGCGTGCGAGTCCCCATGGGAAGACAAAGAATGCTAGCACCTACCGGGCCAGTAAACCCATTAAGGAAAAACCCATTTTATCCATTGTAGGTGACAATGGACCAAAATATGAAAGGTAAAGTCTAATGCCTGATTGTCGAGGTCTAGGAGGATGAGCCCAACCAATAAATATCACGATTCTAAGACTGTCACCGACTGACCTCTCCAAGGTCCAAAGATCTTACAAACCAATTTCTGTACGGTTTTAAGACCGTCACAAATTGACTCCCTCATGGTCCCAAGCTCGACAAGAACCAAACTAGATTATACCGCTATCCAAATACCATCAAGAACTGGTGCTCACCTGAGCATTAAGGAGAGCTCAAGCTCTGTTGGGATAGACTCAACCCCTCCTACTTGGGTCCATGATCAAAATGGTATAAGACCATTGCTTGGGGAATCATTACTCAAAGAATACCCGGATTTCACGATGGTCAATCAGGTCAATGATGAACCTGAAGATCCAATGACCTGCTTCTCCGGGACCCTCAATCATATCATGGAGAAGCTCACAGAGAACGAGAATGTAAGACCACTTGCAATATCTTCTCACCATGGGGTTAGCTCACCCATTGTGCCACCATCATTGGAAGAGGAACAAAGACCTCAACCTCTTCAAATGGTGCAAACACTTCCCCCACATGATTCATGAGCCACTCAAGTTCCTCCAACTGTCTTGCTCGTGGCCACCCAACAGGACCTTCAATCCATGATTAATCAAAACCTTCGGAGCATTCAGGTTTCCGGAATGCAAGGGATGTTGTCATACAAAAATTTGTGCCCAGCCTTCATTGATGTGCGCCCATTTCTACCATCATATCAAAAGGGAAGGCTATCAATCTCCAATAGCACCGGCTCACCCCATCAACATGTTGCACACTTTGTGTCATAATGTCAAGAGTTAGCATATCTGATCGTGCCAATTTGTGAAAACTCTGGTTGGGCCAGCTTTTAAATGGTACGCTCGCTTACCTCTAAACTCCATCCACACATGGTACAAAATGAAGCATTTATTCTATAAATGGTTCTATGAGATCGAGCGAGAAGTTTAGGCCATCGAGCTTCTCACCATGATCCAAGGACCAAACGCGTCTGTTGACAAGTTTGTCCAAAGGTGGAGAGACCTCGAGATATACCATAGCAGCCCTATGCTCGAGGTGGACACAGTTCAAACCTATGTTCGAAATATGAGGAAAGATATCTCACTCCATGTCGAGGTATCAAACCCCATCACCTTCTCCGACATGATCTCTAAAGCGCTGCAAATCGAGAGCTTACTTAAGCTCCACGGGAGCACTCTGCCGTCGGCTTCAAATGGAGGAACAAACTGGAGCTTTAATAAGAATCTGCTCGGTTCGGGCGGTAATCAGTAAAAGGACGTGGTCAGTGCAGCAGGCACAGCCACGCCAACTTATGCCAAAGTCCCTGCGTGAGCAACCCCTATGAAAACCTTGGACACCTCCTCAGGATTACCACAGTAACTCAAGGGACGCCACAACAAAGGCAACCACAACCCCAATCATACAATCGGGTGCCTCCACCTTTGAACCTCTATCGTAATTCCTTCGAGCAAAAACTTAACAAGAAGTACAATTTTGAAATGCAGTAGACCCCAACGATTCTTCAAATGTTGTTGAATCAAGGAATGATAATCCTCCCAGAACCAACTACACCCGAAGTAGTTGGGCTCACAAATGTTGTTTTATTGAAATTCTTGAATCATGTTTATTATAATATTATAATTGATAATTGTAAATTGATAACCAAATCTTGTATTTTATTTATTAATTTATTTACATATAAATTATGTAATGTATTATTTTTTCTTGTAGTAGTAAATATTATAATACTATATTATTATTAATAATTATACAAACATCCAGACAAGAAAATAACGTCTCTGTATTCACCTAGTTTTACAAAGTAATGGAAGTACATAATCCAACACTCCTAATTTCTTTTAGAAACTAGAATGAATAATACTTTTAGAGATTTATATTGATTTTTGGAAAAACTTCTTGGAAAAAAATTGCCGATTCCGCTGATTCTCCGATTCAATCCATCGATTCCCCAATTCGACATGGGTTTTTTAAACACTGATGCAAAGAGAGCCAATGCCTCCACATAGATAGAAGTGAGCTTCCTAAAGAGAGAAATGTCTTTATAGCTTCCGCAGAGTGAGAGGTAAGTTTCTTGCAGAGAAATGGTTCCAATGGAGATTTTAGGTGATATCCCCATCTAGTGAAAAAAATCTTGGTTTCACTCATGATTCTCTTCATGGAAAGTGGTTTACTTGTAGAATAGAAATGGGAGATTTATCGATTATATCGGTTGAAAAAGCATATTTCAAAGGGTTGCTCAACTAAATTTTCTCGATAGTTACAAGAGGTAACTTTCTCGCATATATGATGTACTTTTCTCGCATATATGAAGTAGCTCTTGCTGATATAGTAGATTTTAGTTTGTAATACATGTGCCCATAGTCCTTTGAGGTGAAAATGTAAATCTGTAGAATGTGTTTTTTTATGGTTTATGTCTCATGCACATATATAGTTTGTAGTCACCTATTTTGCCTCTGGCCTATTAAGTACATGATCTTGGTATGATTCCAATATTAAACGTTCTAATTTCCGAACATAAGAAGTTTCTTTAATCATAACAAGGTTTTATACTTGTTTTATTTTAATTTATTTTAATGTAAATGCCAACAAGGTAACCATCAAGAAAGGTCCAATTTAAGTCTACTGAAAACATGCTTCACACAAATCATTGTGCTTTCCATTAAGAACACTCTACAATCTAGTAAGATACATAGATATCAGCAAACCATTCTAAAGACTAAATACTTCATGAGCCTTTTAATTGGGCTATATCTTGGAGAGTATGATATGGACACCATGTTCAGGACCGAGAGTTACACCACACTGGGGTGAATGCTTATAAGTTGGAGAGATAACAAAGGAGAAGTTTTGTAGGATGATGGCCAATGCACTCTTGGATTCTATCATGGCAAAGTTCATCCCCATACACATCGTTGGCCCATGTCCGAAAGGCATGAATGCCATAGGATGTTTTGATGCCTTAGAAACTCCATCTTTGAAACGACCAGGGTTGAACTGGTGCACGTCATCTCCCCATTGTTCAGGTTCATGATGGATAGCTATGATGGGCACTTCAACAACTGTTCCGGCAGGGACAGTCAGGTTTCCCAACTTTGTTTCTTCATTCGCCTTCCGCATCGTGAGTGTTGCCGGAGAGTAAAGCCTGAGAGTCTCATTCAATATCATGTTCAACTGTTTGCAATGTCACAAGTGAGATGCAAGAAATTTTATTCACCCAAAAAAAAGAGATACGAGAAATTTGGACTCAAAACCTCAATCAAGTTTATAGAGGGAGAAATGCATTGGAGCCAAAGGAAGGTTCTCTAAGGCCTACCTCACCAGGTTCAAATTTTGTTGGGAAGTCTTCATGGAATTTTGTGTCTTCCAAATTGTGCATCAGTTTTTGTTAGTCAATGAAAGTCAAATGTTGAAATACACAAAATTAATATAAAGGGAAAAAAAAACATAAATTTGGGGTGAATAAAAATAAAGGGCAATAGGGTTGGGACATCCGTGGTTTGGGGGCCTGATTCCTCAACATAATGTTCATGTCAAATAAAAATAGTCAAAAAAATGAAATAGAAAATGGAGACCCCAAATGCTACACATGAATATTAGTTATTGAGATACCTTATTCAACTAGGCTTAGCCAATGTGATAAAATATTACAATCCAATAAGGATATGAGTACTTTTCCATGGAATAGTATGACGCCCAAATGATATTAAAGCTGTTAACGAGCCAGGCCCAATTTCATGTTGTGTTCTGGCCGCATTGTAAGGTCCATAGTCTAACCCTGTAAGCTAGATGTATTTTCTGAATGTATTTTTACTGTAAAAAAAAAAATCATGGGCCTCATTACCAAATTTCCGACTGGCCGAAACTCGATTTGCAGACCCAGGCCCACCTTGCATGGTCTCAGGGCGGGGCCTAGGCGCACCCCTTAAGTTGCTGGAAGGTTGTATAAGCAATCCCTTCAACAAATCAGATTAAAAGGAAAACACATTGATAGTCATAATTTAATGTAGTATTATACTTTCAATCTTTTTCTAATTGAGTTGAAATGAAATTTTTGAGGTGTTTGTACCACTAAGCACACCTAAAAATAAATACAAAAACAATTTTGAGGGTATACTAATCAATTATCTTTTATTAATTATTTGAAGTAGTTTTAAAAGACAATTAAAGATACACCCTAAAAATGAACCTTGCAGATATTCTACCACTCAATACTTTTAGTATCACACCCATGACTCAATTACTATTTTTTATTGATTTTACTCCCCAGTCAAAAAACCATTGTTTTAAGCACTAAACTACCCTTCCCTTTCTTTACCCTATCAATTAAATCTCTCTCTACCCGTCCTCTCTTTCTCTCTCTACTTGCCCTTTCTCAATCTCTATACACCTTCTGTCTCTCTCTCTACATGCCCTCTCCCTCTGTCTCTACCGACCCTCTCTTCCTTTCTCTCCCTACACGCCCACTCTATCTCTACCTGTCCTCTCTGTACTCGGGAAGAGAGCATAGAGAGAAGGCCGGTAGAGAGAGAGGATGTGTAGAAAAATTCAAATGTTTTTATTATTCTTTGCCCTAGAAACATTAAAAAAATTTTGGGAAATTTACATATGCTTGCAAATTAATTTTTATAATTATAGAGTAGCCCATATCTTGGGAACACCGAAAAGCCAAATATTACTGCAGTTCCAAAGTTGGACTTTCGAACTGCTCAAAACACACAAAAACAAATAACATGGTTAATTTTTTAAAGCGTTTAGATGTGAGACTTGCACGTCCCAAACACTTCTACTTCCATGTTAACACACAAAGATAAATAACATGGTTGATTTTCGAAAGCTTTTAGATGTGAGACTTGCACGTGCCAAATACTCCTACTTCCATGTTTGAGTTCACCCTTTGGAAGCCCAAGGCTAGGAATTTGGCATTCCACGCGTGCTTTTTTTAACATAAATCAAGCTATTTTTGGGGAAGCTGCCTCTTCCATCATATAAGAGGAAGCTTTCATATTGCATGGAATTGGGCGGCTTCAACATGCTTCTTCCATGCACTCATTTGTTTCAAACACAGCCTAAGTGTGCTCGTGTTGATTTATAGTTGTCTTTTGAGCCTCCCCAAGTAGAAATTAACGAAGTTTTTAGGTGGTTTGAAAGTCTCACTTTTAAAACTATGGACTTTTAAACCACCCAAGCACTTAGGTTCTTTTGTATTTTAGACGGCCCAAAAGTTGATCTTTCGAATAACTCAAATACTTAATTTTTGGCTTTCTTAGTCTTTTGAAAGTTAGATTTTCAAATCAGAAGCAACATAAGAATCCAAATAGAAAAACTAAAAATTTTCGGACCTCACCATAAATGTCTGAAGTATGGGTCATTTTTTCATTCCAAAAATGCTTTTGGATCCCTACATTAATTCCCTGAAGTTTTACAATTTAAGGCAAAAACTGACTCCAAAAGCTTCTCCCTCTCTGTCTCCCAAACCATACTTGAGCATCGCATGGGCTGCTTGCTAATAGCTATTATGTACATAAATATTGACTGATTTATAGTTTCATCTGGGGCAATTTTATGCTCCTGCCCATGCAGTTATTCTGCATTTCCTTAGAATTCACCATTGTTTGTCTATCGAAGAGATTGTCTACGATATTTCATTTTAATTTTTGCGACACATGGGATAGATTCATGGTGTTAAAGGAGAAACATGAGGAGGAAAAGCCTGCAAAATAGAGATTGTCATGACTTACAGTCTTGAGTCGATTGAGGTTTTCGAAAGTGGGTGGACCACCGTCAAGCACATCCCGGACTTCTTCTCGTGCCCTCTCTTGCCATTCTGTGTACATCCCTAGTAACATGGTTGCCCATGAAAGCAAAAGAGATGTGGTTGAATAACCAGCAGCAAAGAAGGTCTTGCACTCATCAATAATATCTTGCGTGGACATTGACTTTGCTTTTCTGTTTTCAGACAACATGAGCTCAAGGATGCCATATTGTTGGGACAATCCAATATCTTGGCCTTCGATAAGCTCTTTGAATAACCTATCCCCTTCTTTGTTAAGTCTCTTGTATTTGCGGTTGAATGGTGTAGGCAAGTACCTATATATTCAAATTTATTAGACAACCATGAGGAAATAGCTATGCTACTTTAAAATGTAGAATTAAAGATACACCTCAAAAATCCATCATAAAGGTTTGTTTTGATATTGGAAAGCCCTCTAATTGATCATTTCGACATCAAAATATATGAATATGATAAGACAAAAGGATTTCATACCTGCAAAATAGTGTATCTTTCGACACATTATCTGGATCATCCATTTTCAAGATTTTCATGTGTTTATGGATCTACTTGACTTGAACCATTTTTAGAGTTTGAAATTTTATAATTGGAGATAAAAATAGATTCTCAAGCCATTCATAAGAATTTTTTATATCAAAATTACGTTTATGATAAAATGTAGAGGTGCATCTTAATTGGATTGTTTAAGGTTGCAACCTTATGCAAACCATACCCACATTTAAAACTTTATATAGTATATAATGCATACAGTTTAGTTAATAAAGTACCTCAATGTCCATCCTCGTTGAATTAATTTTTCTAATGTTAGAATGGCAGATTTACGTCGAGATGAATGAAAGCTAGGACCGTTGAGGGCCTGTTTGTATGACAATTAAATTTATTTGAATAGACTATCACATCAGAAATTAATATATTTAGGATAATACTATTTTTTTAGTTGTAAAGTAAGCACATTGTAATATATAATGTTATTAATTGTTTGACAATTTTTAGCAACTTTCAACTATTTTTAGTTATTTTTAGCTAAAACAAATGTAATTTTCAACAACAAAATTTTGAATAAAATTAAAAAAATTCAAAAAGATAAATGTATATGTAAAATTGTCTATAAGTTTATCTCTGATAACTTTATAATGGACACAACCAAACAACAGACAAGTCATGATCAAGGTTAGCTTTATGGAAACAATGACAGTGATAATAAGTACACCAAACCAGCCGTAAATGTGTTGTGTACATAAATGCGCATTTGAGAGAGAGAGAGAATTTTGAACATGGGAATTCAAGTAGGAGGGGACGATTTGAACAATATTACCATGAACCTGGGATATAGAATGTTCTCATGGCTTGCGCATTCATTTTCGATTGCTCCAATAGCAACTCAAATATGGCGTGGGCTTGCTTAAACTCGTCCCCAAATGCCGTTCTTGCTATGACGTCGCCTGTTAGTGCTCGTAAGTCTTTCTGAACCTCAATCTCTCTTGTTCCACATGTAGCTGAATCCTTCCATCTATTAACCATTTCTTTTGTGATTCTAACCACAATGGGAACCATTCCCTATTTCAAATGTTTGCGTGATCAGCAATATATACGATAGATTAATCAAAAATCAATCAAAATCAGATGCATATGCTTTTCATTAAATGGATATACATTTCGGTTTCTTTTTAAACTGCTTATTTTGTCTTCCAAGGTTCTTTACGTATTTACTTCCACTTGAGAATGATAAAGAAAGTACTAAATGTCACCCCACATAGTCTCCTAAATACAGTATCAATACGATAAACATTTAAAGGTAGAGAAAGGGTTCTGATGCAGGCCGTTCTTGCGGCGTGTTGCTTGCAAGAAAGTATGGAATCACTTAGGCCAAGTAGGAGGAATAAGTCAACCCCAGTTATGAGTCACTCAACTCAAGTGCACTAGAAAAATGCTTGTAAAAGAATAATATTTACCCATGTAGGCTATGCATGCCGACCCATGAGAGAGGATTGGCACCTAATGTTTTTAGTAGGCATGTACGAGGCATGGATTGAAAGTGGATGATAACTGGGAGAGTTAATGAGGTATGAGCATGTGCTTGTTTGTGTGGATATCCATGTGAGTGTGATGGGCAAAGTGTTGTCTAGTAGCATAGTGTTACTCGGAAGTATGGTGTTGCTGATATGTTACTTGTGAGAGCATATTATGACTCGCTTTTGGATCTTGAGAACATAGTGTTGCTTGTGTATGTATATGGAGAGCAAAGTGTTGGTGTTTACTTATTCTAAGACCTCAAAAGGCTGCGAGGGAGAGTGTTGGAATTATGGCCTTTTAAACCCTTATGTTTTTGCCATGATGATTCTAGGTCAAAGTGGGAGTGACTAGGTATGATGAGGCTTCCGGAATCTTTGCATACTGGGATATGGAAAGCTTTGAATAACCCTGATTACATGTGGCAAGGTTCTTGGGTTGTGTTTTGAATTGAGAAGTTTGAGGATTCTCTCTAATAAGGGTCGGTACGTGAGTGCCTCAATGTGACTTTTTATGTGTGATAAGCCATGTGTAAGCTTGGGGATAAGTGGATCCCGGAATGTTTGAGATGCTTTCTATGTGTGACAAGCCTGTATAAGCAAAGCTAAGCTTTGATAGTACGTAAGCCCAAATCCCTGATATGTGTAGCTTGCTCATAGCATGTGCAAGGGACAGTCGCAATTTGGGGAGCGATAATGAAAGATCTACTCTTCATAACTATGCACATGTGCTGAAAGAGGACCCCCACATTCGCAAGAGTGCAGATCCCTTGGGGCAACTGTAATCCATTGTACAGCTGGGAGTCAGACCACCTATTGGTTAGCATTGATAGGTACACTTATATCCTGACTTAATTCTGTAGCGCATAGAGGGCATTAGGATGGTTTGAGAAAGTGGTCTGGATTTCAGGGTCTAGTCCAGTGGAGTACCATGTAGCCCAACCACCTTCAGGATCCTAATTTACCAATTGGATTTATCTTATGCTCCAGAATGTTACATTTTGATGGGAAATGACTAAAATTATTTTATCATATTCTAATAGAACTTTTGAAAATTTTAATGTAAGGAAAAATGATTTATTAAATTTGTTATGAAGTAATTCTAAATATAGACTGCTTGGATGTGTGGCATGTGATGCACAAATGGCCAATGCCTGCCACACATTCAACCACTGTACTGCCACATCATTGCCATGTGAGTATGATGTGAATGGCTATAGGATCTTCGATGTGAAGGCTTTGTTTGGTTAGTGCATATAAAGTTCTAATGTGTAATATTTTATGACACGTGTGAGTGTAGGATATTGTATTTTCAAAATCTATTTAATTTTGGAATATAGTGGTCAAATGATTCTTATAAATAGAATCATGTGATTGGCAATGAGCAAATAAGGGGGCACATCACGACATATGATGATGTAATGTCCCCCATGAAAGTGACACTCCATAAGATGAAATGGAGTGAGAGTTTAAACAAAGAGGATGGACAGAGAGGGTGGCACACCACCCTTATGTGGGTCTCTCATTTTTTTGAATTTGATGGCGATGATTGAAAGTTTTCAAAATGGATGGTTGAGATTTGCTCAAAACAAATTTAGGTTATGGGAAAATTCGAGGTGGCTTATTGGCATAGTGATAAGGGTGTGTATAATTATCCCCATTCATATGATAACTATCAATGGTGATTCATAAGGCTCGGCCTTTAGCCTCTCTCAACCATTGGATCACTCATTGGATGGCCAAGATATAATATGAGTTCAAGCTTACACATGAAACCTCTGTAAATCGGACTCATCCCACCCATTTCATTCTTCTTAATTCTTCTTTCTCTCATCTTGATCAGTTGTTACTTTTCCCCAAGAGGACCATGCCCCACTCTCATCTCTCTCATTTCCTCTTGGTCTTTGTATCTTAAACCTTCCCTTCAATGTGAGATAAGGTGTGTTATAAGGTGTGCTATTGGCCCCATCTTCGAAGCATATCGCTTGTGCCTCATCACGAACTTCTCAAAGCCTGCTACCGTAAATTGGTCATGACAATAAGCTTACTTTCCTTATTATCTCATTTCCTTTGAAGCTCATTACTTGTTGCATATTAAAGGTCTATGTGGTGTCTATCTAGAGCTGTAGTTTTCAAGCATCTTTTCCCAAAACTATTATGGACTTTAGGATGCTGAAATTCTGAGCTCTTTCGTCCACAACAGTGAGGTCTAGGTTATTTTTTGAAGTTTATTTGGTGCCATCTCGTTCCCATCTTTTGATATGATGTGCCTTGTATCTTTGGTCCCTATGGGATGTGATTTGGTGTAGTTTTGGAATGTATTCCTACCATTTATTGAGAATCTATCCCTTGCAGTAAATCTGATTGTCTCAAGCATTAATAGTAGGACACAAATATAATTTTGAGCTTCATATTGGACTCTCCTATGATAGAAGGCCATAGAAGACCCATGTGTTAAGACTACACCAATTGTCTGGTTCTAACCGGTTTTCTCCCACTTGTTCTCATTGTCCAATATCCCATGTGAGGTTCATTTGCCCTATGTTTGATGTTTGAGAACTTTTAGTGTGGCACTTTATTCATGCTTCCCATGATTAGATCTGACCCATCCCTCTTGTGCTATCGTTTGGAAGTGATAACAAGGGTTGTACCGATATCATTTTATACAGTATATGAGAATTAAATCGGCTTCCCAAGGCAATGTCAAACTCGTGCACATTTGGTTCTATTTGATCATGTTTTCCATTTTGTTCTTCTGAGTGTGCTGCAAACTGGAAGCATTACAATAGAGTAAACCTTTTTCATTGTAGACGTATTGTTGAAAGTTGTTTAGTGGAAGACAACTGTACTTTATAATCTTCTAATTTTAGTAGTTGTAGGGATTTCCCCAAGGCCTTGTAAGAATTTGGGAAGTAGATTGAAAAAATTTCTTTTACGTTGCGTGGAGTCCCTGGTACTAAAATGCTCAGAACTTCTCTTTAGCCACCACTTTGTTGATGGTAGGCACTAGAAAACTGAAGTTATGCCCTCATAAGCTTCCCATGAGTGCGCAGGTGTGGCTACTTCTTGATTGGATGAAATGGTCCTTGGTAAATGAGGTAACCATAGAATTTTCCAAAAGAAAAGTGTGGCTATGTTAGTTGAAGTTTTATGGAGCACAAAGTGATGCATCATTAAAAAACTATCAACAATAGCAAAGGTAGAATTGAAATTGTGATGGGTTCAAGTTAGAACAAGTACAAAGTACTTAGAGAGGTCTTCCCATGGAACTTTGGGAATAGGTAAGGGCTGGTATAACCCCACACTTGCATCCTACGCTAAGCATGCTGGCTTGGCATGCATCATTCCATAAGGTGAGACATTATTCTTTAATGAAGGGCAATAGTATCATTCCCTTACGAGTGCCTCAGCGTTATCTCAACTGAAATTTCTACCAACTCCACCATTATGTAACACAATCATGAGTTGTAATTGTAAGGAACCAAGTAGACATAGCAGATTTCCTTCGAAAATATAATCGTCAACCACGCTAAAGTCTTCACAATTGTTCAACCATCCTGTAAACCTGTATAGAGAAACGGTCTTTCGGACAGTTCCCAGGCAAGCGTTAAATGCAATAATGTAGTTTACAAGTGTGGTCAGTAGACTACATTTCAGCTTCAAACATTGAAAACTTTGTTTGCTGCTCTAGCCATGCAGTGCAACACAAAAGTGAATTATTGGCAAGGGACTGAAAGGAGAGGAAGCAAGAGAGCATACTCATAAACAAGAATTAGCGAGTGAGTAAGGAGTTCAGTTGTTAGTGTTTGAAGACATTTTTCAGCACCTTGGGTCCCCGATGCAGAATAAAGGAGAAACCGATTAATAAAGCCTTGATTTACAGTGAAATTCCTTACAGTCTCTGAATTGCCCCAGAATGCGTGAAGATGTTCCTAAGGACTTCAAAAGGCCACCTGTCAAGTTTTGTCACAATCCGACATGTCTAAGGCCACGCAGATAAAGAAACAGTTTCGAAAAAATCAGCCTCTAACACCCTGAAACAGACCCCATAACTAGAACTCTATTTTTGGTGGGTAAAATGGCTATGAGATCATCGCCATTGGATCTGGCACAGTCAAAAACCCCTAGAGGTCAAGTTTCGGCTTAAAGAGACGCTCCAAGACAAAGTTATAGGTGAAACATTAAAAAGAGGTAGGTCACACGCTATTCCCTAGTGGTCTCCCTGCACCATTCTCCATTTTGCACAGTCACGAGCAGCAACTTTAAAGACTCATACCTCGCTTGTTATAAGTCAAATTGCGCTCAAATTTTGCAAGCATGTTCGTCTCGTCAAGAGCGTTTGATATGTGGTAGGTCCGGTGATGATGTCCGAGCTAGGAGAAAAACTAGAGAGAAGTTGGGGATTCATGACAAAAGTTGCGGAAAAATCAGCAGCGATACACTTTGCTCAAGTGGCCATATCACAGTCCTCGCATAACGGATCAACGCGAGACCAGTTCCATTGCATGCGTAAGATCTAGGGCTATGTCTGGTCCGAACCCCGCACGT